GGAGGGTGGGTAGTCAGGGGCTGTGGGAGCAGAAAGTGCATGAATGTGATGGTGGGTAGTCAGGGGCTGTGGGAGAAGGGAGTGCATAGATGGGAGGGTGGGTAGTCAGGGTCTGTGGGAGCAGGGAGTGCATGGATGGGAGGGTGGGTAGTCAGGGGCTGTGAGAGCAGGGAGTGCATGGATGGGAGGATGGGTATTGAGGGGCTGTGGGAGCAGTGAGTGCATAAATGAGCAGCCCTCATGCTGCTCTGAGGGAGGGTAGTCAGGGGCTGTGAAAGCAGGGAGTGCATGGATGTGAGGGTGGGTAATCAGGGGCTGTGGGAGCAGGGAGTACATAAAAGAGCAGCTCTCATGCTCCTCGGAGGGTGGGTAATAAGGGCCTGTGGAAGCAGAGAGTGCATGAATGTGAGGGCGAGTAGTCGGGGGCTGTGGGATCAGCAAGTGGATGGATGGGAGGGTGGGTAGTCAGGGGCTGTGGGAATAGAAACTGCATGGATGTGAAGGTGGGTAGTCAGGGGCTGTGGGAGCAGGGAGTGCATGGATGGGAGGGTGGTTAGTCAGGGAATGTGGGGCACAGGGAGAGCATGAATGAAGGGCTCTTATGCTGCTCTGAGGGTGGGTAGTCAGGGGCTGTAAGAGCAGGGAGTGCATGAATGTGAGGGTGTGTATTCAGGGGCTGTGGAAGCAGAAAGTGCATAAATGTGAGGGTGGGTAGTAGGGCTACAGGAGCGTAGAAGGCATAGAGAGGAAGGTAAGTAGTCAGGGGCTGGAGGAGCATAAAGTGCATGGATAAGAGGGTAGGTAGTCAGGGAATGTGGGAGCAGAGAGTGATGGATGGGATGGTGGGTTGTCAGACACTGTGGGAGCAGAGAGTACATTGATCTGAGGGTGGGTAGTCAGGGGCTGTGGGAGCAGGGAGTGCATGGATGGGAGGTTGGGTAGTCACCGGCTGTGAAAACAGGGAGTGCATGGATGTAAGGGTGGGTAGTCAGCGGCTGTGGGAACAGAAAGTGCATGGATGAGAGAATAGGGAGTCAGGGGCTGTGGAAGCAGGGAGTGCATGGATGTGAGGGCGGGTAGTCAGGGGCTATGGGAGCATGGAGTGCATGCATGGGAAGGTAGGTAGTCAGGGGCTGTGGGAGCAGAAACTGCATGGATGGGAGGGTGGGTACTCAGGAAATGTGGGGTACAGGGAGCTCATGGATGAAGGGCTCTCATGCTACTCTTAGGGTGGTAGGGGCTGAGAGGCACAGGGAATGAACGAATGGGGAGGTGGGTATTCAGGGGCTGTGGGAGCAGGGAGTGCATGGATGGGCAGCTCTCATACTGCTCTGAGAATGGGTAGTAAGGGGCTGTGGGAGCAGGAAATGCATGGATGGGAGTATGGGTAGTCAGAAGCTGCGGGAGCAAAAGTGCATAAATGAAATGGTGGGTAATCAGAAGCTTTGGGAGTATGGAGTGCATGGATATGAGGGCGGGTGGTCAGGGGCTGTGGGAAGAGGGATTGCATGGATGTGAGGAGGGGTAGTCAGAGATTGTGGGAGCAGGGAGAGCATGGAGATGAGGGTGGGTAGTTCTTGCTGTTGGAGCAAGAACTTCATGGATGGAAGGATGGGTAGTCAGGGGCAGTGGGACACAGAAAGCGCATGAATGAAAGGCCCTCATGCTGCTCTGAGGGTTGTAGTCAGGAGCTGAGAGGCACAGGGAATGCATAGATGGGAAGGTGGGTAATCAGGGGCTGTGGGAGCAGGGAGTGCATGGATGGGCAGCTCTCATACTGCTCTGAGGGGGGACAGTCAGGGGATGTGGGAGCAGAAAATGCATGGATGGGAGTGTGGATAGTCGTGGTTTGTAAGAGCAGGGATTGCATGGATGGGAAGATCTGATGCTGCGGTGAGGGTGGGTAGTCAGAAGCTGTGGAATAAGGGTGCGCATGGACGTGAGGGTGGGTTGTCAGGGGCTGTAGAAGCAGAGAGTGCATGGACGTGAGGGTGGGTAGTCAGGGGCTGTGGGAGCAGGGAGTGCATGGACGGACAGCTCTCATGCTTCTCTGAGGGAGGGTAGTCAGGGGCTGTGGAAGCAGGGAGTGCATAGATGTGAGGGTGGGTGGTCAGCGGCAGTGGGAGCAGGGAGTGCATGGATGGGAGAATCGGTAGTCAGGGGATGTGGGAGCACAAAGTGCATGTATGGAAGGGTGGGTATTCGTGGGCTGTAAGAGCAGAGATTGCATGGATGCACAGCCCTGATGGTGCTCTGAAGTGGGTAGTCAGGGGCTGTGGGATACGGGAGGGCATGGATCTGAGGGTGGATAGTCAGGGGCTGTGGGAGGAGTGAGTGCATGGATGAGAGGGTGGGTAGTCTGCAGTTGTGAGAGCAGGGAGAATATAGATGGGAGAATGGGTAGTCGGGGGCTGCAGAAGCAGGAGTACATGGATGTGAGGGTGCGTAGTTAGAAGCTGTGGGACCAGGAAGTACATGAATGGGAGGGTAGGTACTCAGGGGCTGTGAAAGCAGGGAGTGCATGGTTGTGAGGGTGGTTAGTAAGGGGCTGTGGGAGCAGAAAGTGCAGAAATAATAGGGTGGGTAGTTAAGGGCTGTGAAAGCAGGCAGTGCATGGTCAGGAGCTACGAAAGCAGGAAGAGTATGGATGTGAGGTTGGGTAGTCAGGGATTGGGAGCACGGAGTGCTTGCATTAAAGGGTAGGTGCTCAGGGGCTGTGGGAGAAGGGAGTACATGGATGTGAGGGTGGGTAGTCAGGGGCTGTGGGAGCAGGGAGTGCATGGATGCGAGGGTGGGTAGTCAAGGGCTGTGAAAGTAGGGAGTGCATGGATGTGAGGGTGAGTAGTCAGGGCCTGTGGGAGCAGGGAGTACATGGATGTGAGGGTGAAAAGTCAGGGGCTGTGGGAGTATGAAGTGCATGGATGGGAGGGTGGGTAGTCATGGGCTGTGGGAGCAGGAAGTGCATGGATGGACAGCTCTCATGCTGCTCTTACGGTGCATCGTCAGGGGCTGTAAGAGCAGAAAGTGCATGGATGCGAGGGTGCCTATTTAGGGGCGGTGGGAGCAGTGAGTGCATGAATGGACAGCTCTCATGCTGCTATGAGGGTGGGTAGTCAGGGGCTGTAAGAGCAGAAAGTCCATGGATGCCAGGGTGGCTATTCAGGGGCTGTGGGAGAAGGGAGTGCATGGATGTGAAGGTGGGTAGTCGGAAGCTGTGGGAGCAAGGAGTGAATGTATGTGATGCTGGGTAGTCATGGGTTGTGGGAGCAGGGAGTGCATGGATGGGAGGGTGGGTAGTCAGGGGCTGTGGGAGCAGGGAGTGCATGGATGTGAGGGTGGGTAGTCAGGGGTGTGAAAGCAGAGAGTGCATGAATGGGAGGGTAGGAAGTAAGGGGCTGTGGGAGTAGGGAGTGCATGGATGGGAGGGTGGGTAGTCAGTTGCTGTGGGAGCAGGAAGTACATGGATGGGAGGATAGGTGTTCAGGGGTAGTGGGGCACAGGGAGCGCATGGATGAAGGGCTCTCATGCTGCTCTGAGGGTAGTAGTCAGGGTCTGCGAGGCACCAGGAATTCATGAATGGGAAGGTTTGTAGTCAGCGGCTGTGGGAGCAGGCAGTGCATGGATGGGCAGCTCTCATTCTGCTCTGAGTGGGGGTAGTAAGGAGCTGTGGTATAAGAAAATGCATGGATGGAAGAATCAGTAGTCAGGGGCTGTGGGAGCAGGGAGTGCATGGATGGGATTGTGGGTAGTCAGAAGCTGTGGGAGTAGGGAGTGCATGGATATGACGGTGGGTGGTCAGGGGCTGTGGAAGGAAGAAAGTGAATGAATGTGAGGGTGGGTAGTCAGGGGTTGTGGGAGCAGGGATAGCATGGAGGTGAGGGTGGGTAGTCCAGGGCTGTTGGAGCAGAAAGCACATGGATGTGAGGGTGGGTACTAAGGAACTGTGGGAGCAGGAAGCGCATGGATGTGAGGGTGGGTAGTAAGGGGCTGTGGAAAGCTGTGGGAGCAGGGAGTGCATCAGTGGGACGGTGCGTAGTCAGGGAATGTGGGAGTAGAAGGTGCATGCATGGGAGGTTGGGTAGTCCGGGGCTGTGGGAGCAGAAGGTGCATGGATGTGAAGGTGGGTAGTCAGGGGCTGTGAAAGCAGAAAGTCCATGGATGTGAGGGTGGGTAGTCTGGGGCTGTGGGAGCACAAATAAGAGGATAAGCAGTCAGGGGCTGTGGGACAGGGAGTGCATGGATGGGAAGGTGGGTAGTCAGGGGTGTGGGAGAACAGTGCATGGATGGGAGGGTGGGTAGTCACGGGCTGTGGGAGCAGGGAGTGCATGGATGTGAGGGTGCGTAGTCAGGGGCTGTGGGAGCAGGGAGTGCATGGATGTGAGGGTGGGTAGTCAGAAGCTGTGGGAGCACAGAGTGCATGGATGGGCAGCTGTCATACTGCTCTGAGCATGGGTAGTCAGAATCTGTGGGTGGAGGGAGTGCATGTAAGTGAGGGTGGGTAATCAGGTGCTATGGGAGCAGAAAGTGAATGGATGTGAGAGTGGGTACTGAGGCTGTGGGAGCAGGGAGTGCGTGGATGGGAGACAGCATAGTCAGGGGCTGTGGGAAGCAGGGAGTGCATGGACGGGAGGGTGGGTAGTCAGGGACTGTGGGAGCAGGGAGTGCATGGATGGGAGGGTGGGTAGTCAGGGGCTGCGGGAGCAGGCAGTGCATGGATGGGAGGGTGGGTAGTCAGGGACTGTGGGAGCAGGGAGTGCATGGATGGGAGAGTGGGTAGTCAGGGACTGTGGGAGCCGTGAGTGCATAGATGTGAGCAGGGGTAGTCAGGGGCTGTGGGAGGACCACGTGCAGGGAAGGGAGGGTGGGTAGTCAGGAGCTGTGCAAGCAGGAAGAGCATGGATGTGACGTTGAGTAGTCAGGGTAGTCCGGGAGGGCGCGGACCGTTCCACCGCCGGCGGTGAGCACCGGCTCCACCCGCCGCGGATCCGCGGGGCGCGGCGATGTTCTCTCCTGACGCCGGCGCATCATCCCTGGGGCGCCCCGGACCGCAGGCCGCGCATCGCCGCCGGAGCCCGGCACTCGCGCCCCGACGAAGGCCCCCGGCCTTTAGGGAAAAAGCCAGCTCCCTACTACTCAGCGATCGCAAGGCTCGGCGACTCCAAACCCCTCTACATAGGCTTCCTCCAGCTCCTGGCGCCGCCGCCGGCCCAGGCTGCGTCAGGACGTGCGCGCGCCCGCCGTTTTCTACGCCGCCCAACGTGACCCCGCCCCCACCGTCCCGCACGCTGCCGCCGGGCGCGCGAGCCGGCAGGGCGGGGACCTAGGGAGAGGCGAGTGCAGCCGGGCCCAGTCCGCGGGGTGGGCGCGCCCGGGACGCGCCGAGTCCTGCTCTGGCGGGCGAGGGGCGGCTGCCTGGGGAGGGGCGGGGCGGGAGCTGGAGAGACCGAGCCCTGGCCGCCCCTCGGCTGCCGCGTCCCTCTCCGGTAAGGGGAGCCCTTCCCCGCCTCAGGGCCGGAGACCGGCTCCCTCCCGGGACAGAGGTTGGCACGTGTGTTCCGGAGAAGGTGAAGTCAGCCCGGCACCGCGGGAGGAGGCTAGATCACTAAATCACCTGGTCCTGTTGGGGCTGCTGTCGGTGAGCAGCGACATTCTGCCCGTAGAGGACTCGGCTCGGCCTGGCACGCTCAAGATGTTAGCTGCCGGTATCATCACCACCATTACCACGACCGCCGTCACACCAGCAGCATCCGTGAGTCTCGCCTACTTTGCTTGTCAAGCAGAGGGCTTACGGCGTGAGTGTAGTCCGCCTTCGCCCTCCCTCGCAGCTGCAACTTTCCAACGTGGATCTGCTCTCTCTACTCAAGTCTAGCTGGTGCCTGCTGGAGTTTGCATGTGTGTTTCTTTTACCGCATTTCTTGTGACTTCAGACGCCTAACCCAAGCTTATTATCTCCCCTAAAATTGGACCTCCTTAAAATATATATTACCTTTCTTTTTCCTGCTCTTTTTTTTTTTTTTTTTGCGATGGAGTTTTCGCTGTTGTTACCCAGGCTGGAGTGCAATGGCAGGATCTCAGCTCACCGCAACCTCCGCCTTTTGGGTTCAAGCAATTCTCCTGCTTCAGCCTCCCGAGTAGCTGGGACTACAGGAGCGCACCACCATGCCCAGCTAATTTTTGGTATTTTTAGTAGAGCCGGGGTTTCACCATGTTGACCAGGTGAAACGTCGATCTCTTGACCTCGTGATCCACCGGCCTCCGCCTCCCAAAGTGCTGGGATTACAGGCTTGAGCCACCGCGCCCGGCCCGACTTCCTGTTCTTAAAAGACAGTTTGTGGCCGGGCGCGGTGGCTCTCGCCTCTAAGCCCAACACTTTGGGAGGCTAAGGCGGACGGATCACGAGGCCAGGAGTTGGAGACCAGCCTGGCCAATATGGTGAAACCTCGCCTCTACTAAAAATGCTCAAGTTAGCCGGGCGTGGTGGCATGCGCCTGTAGTCCCAGCTACTCAGGAGGCTGAGGCAGAAGAATCTCTTGAACCCGGGAGGCAGACGTTGAAGTGAGCCGAGATGGCAGCACTGCACTCCAGCCTGGGCGACAGGATGAGATTCCGTCTAAAACAAAACCAAGGGCCGGACGCGGTGGCTCTCGCGCCCACGCTGTGATCCCAGCCCTTTGGGAGGCCGAGGCGGGTGGATCACGAGGTCATGAGATCGAGTCCATCCTGGTCAACAAGGTGAAACCCTGTCTCTACTAAAAATACAAAAAATTAGCTGGGCATGGTGGCGCGTGCCTGTAATCCCAGCTACTCAGGAGGCTGAGGCAGGAGAATTGCCTGAACCCGGGAGGCGGAGGTTGCGGTGAGCCGAGATTGCGCCATTGCACTCCAGCCTGGGTAACAAGAGCGAAAGTCCGTCTCAAAAAAAAAAAAAAAAAAAGATTAAGGCCTCACATAACCTCAGGAAGAAGATCCTCCACTTTCTGTCTGGCTCTTTGAAACTGATGACGACGGTTTGAGTGATGTCATTGGTGTAGAAAGTGTCCTTTTTTTTTTCCTAGTTTCCAAAATAAAAAAGGTGGTGTTTTGATTTTTGTCTAATACTTTCATGGGACGCTTTTCTTTTAAGATTAAAACCAAGATAAATTATTGTCTCATCTTCATCACATATGGACGCTAGTGTCTTTAAGGGAGGGTAAAGAATGTTTTGTTAGTTAGAAGTAAATGTTGACGTTTTAATGGTGGCTATAGTGAGTTTTGTGGTACCAGCTGTTTTGTATTGTAACCTTTCTGAGCATCCAGCAAGGTACAGGTTTTCATGTTCAAGTTTTGTTGGGATGAGACCTTTTGATCCCAAGGTCAGGTGGATGGGATTTTTGAATTTGTATTTGCTCCTTGAGTCTTCGGGGCAGTGTCTCCACGAGGGTTTTCCTGTTGAGGGGCATCACATACAATAGTGTGAAGTAGGTACAAGGGGCAGTCATTGTATTCTATAGTATTTTGTAGTCTACATTTCTCAGCTGTATCCTCATTCGGTTTTCTTCTCAGAAGTGTTCTTTTTACTGGACTCATGACTTGGAGGCCAGACCTTAAATCCAGAGATGGCAACCTGGATAGGGACTTAAAAGGATCCACAGAAACTTGTGACACACTTGGTGCCTAGGCCCTGTTCCCAATAACCCCTTCTAGGGCCGTTTATCTAACATTTTGGTGCCTTCTTTCCCCTCCCTAATTTGTAGACCATCCAATCTTTTATTCCTTGGAGGATTTGCTTTGGGGATAAAATTTTGGTCCTCAGGCACAGGGACATTCACTTTTAATGAAAGAACCCTTGGGCATGACTCCAATCCCAGAATTGCTCACTGAGCGCTATGCCACCTAAGCATTGACCTGAACATATTAGTGCACGCCAGTCCAGATTGGACCACTGATCCTACGTGGAAGGGCTGTGTTTTAAAAAAAAAGAAATTTTTTGGTAAGCAGTAGTGTGTGAAATTGCTTTTTGTATACCGATATATGCATGTTTTGTGCATGAGTAATACTTGTGTTGATATTCCTGTTGATGTTAAATTACTGTATAATATAAACAGTATGTGCTTTTATAACTGAAATCATAACAAACAGCCTCTCAGACCATCGTGCAATCAAGTTAGAACTCAGAATTCAGAAACCAACCCAGAACCGCACAGCTTCATGGAAACTGAACAACTGGCTCTTGAATGTTGATTGGATAAACAACGAAATGAAGGCAGAAATAAAGAAGTTCTTCGAAACCAATGAGAACGAAGACACTACATGCCAGAATCTCTGGGACACATTTAAAGCAGTCTCTAGAGGACAGTATATAGCAATAAGTGCCCATATGAGAAGAATGGAGAGATCCAAAATTGACACGCTATCATCAAAATTTAAAGAGCTAGAGGAGCAAGATCAAAAAAACTCATAACCCAGCAGAAGACAAGAAATAACTAAGATCAGAGCTGAACTAAAGGAGATTGAGACACGAAAAACCCTCCAAAAAAATCAATAAATCCAAGAGCTGGTTTTTGAAAAGATCAACAAAATAGACAGACCACTAGCCAGATTGATTAAAAAGAAAAGAGAGAACAACCAAATAGATGCAATAAAAAATGATAAAGGGGAAATCACCACAGATTCCACAGAAATTCAAACCATCATCAGAGAATATTACAAACAACTATATGCACATAAACTAGTAAACCTGGAAGAAATGGATAAATTCCTGGACTCCTGTGTCCTCCCAAGCCTAAACCAGGAGGAAGCTGAAACTATGAATAGACCAATAAGGGCAGAAGTCGAGGCAGCAATTAAGAACCTACCACACAAAAAAGCCCAGGTCCAGACGGGTTCACAATCAAATTCTACCAGACACACAAAGAGGAGCTGGTACCATTTCTTCTGAAACTATTCCAAATAATCCAAAAAGAGGGAATCCTTCCCAAATCATTTTATGAGACCAATATCATCCTGATACCAAAACCCGGCAGAGACCCAACAAGAAAAAAAAACTTCAGGCCAATATCCATGATGAACATAGATGCAAAATATTCAATAAAATATTGGCAAGCCGATTGCAACAGCAAATCAAAAAACTTATTCATCATGATCAAGTAGGATTCATCCCGGGGATGCAAGGCTGATTCAACATACGCAAGTCCATAGACGTAATTCACCACATAAACAGAACCAAAAACAAAAACCACATGATTATCTCAATTGATGCAGAGAAGGCCTTTGACAAAATTCAACAGCCCTTTATGCTAAAAACCCTCAATAAACTCGGTATCGATGGAATGTATCTCAAAGTAATAAAAGCTATTTATGACAAACCAACAGCAAATATCATACTTAATGGGCAAAAACTGGAAGCATTCCCTTTGAAATCTGGCACTAGACAAGGATGCCCTCTGTCACCACTCCTATTCAATATAGTACTGGAAGTTCTAGCCACAGCAATCAGGCAAGAAAAAGAAATAAAGGGTATTCAAATAGGAAAGGTGGAAGCCAAATTGTCTCTATTTACAGACGACATGATAGTATACGTAGAAGACCCCATCGCCTCAGCCCAAAAACTTCTGAAACTGATAAGCAACTTCAGCAAAGTCTCAGGATATAAAATCAATTTGCAAAAATCACAAGCCTTCCTCTACACCAATAACAGACTTAAGGAGAGCCAAATCAAGAACGAACTGCCATTCACAATTGGTACAAAAAGAATAAAATACCTTGGAATACAACTCACAAGGAACGTAAGGGACCTCTTCAAGGAAAACTACAAACCACTGCTCAACGAAATCAGAGAGGACACAAACAGATGGAGAAACATTCCATGTTCATGGTTAGGAAGAATTAATATCGTAAAAATGGCTATACTGCCCAAAGTAATTTACAGAATCAATGCTATACCCATCAAGCTACCATTGACTTTCTTCACAGAACTGGAAAAAACCACCATGAACTTCATATGGAACCAAAAGAGAGCCCGCATAGCCAAGTCACTTCTAAGCAAAAAGAACACAGCGGGTGGCATCACACTACCGGATTTCAAACTATACTACAAGGCTACAGTAATCAAAACAGCATGGTACTGGTACCAAAACAGAGATATAGACCAATGGAACAGAACAGAGGCATCGGAGGCAACACAACATATCTACAACCATACAGTCTTTGATAAATCCGACAAAAACAAGCAATGGGGAAAGGATTCACTGTTCAAATCGTTCTGGGAAAACTGGCTAGCCATGTGCAGAAAGCAGAAACTGGACCCCTTCCTGACACCTTACACCAAAATTAACTCCAGATGGATTAAAGACTTAAACATAAGACCTGGCACCATAAAAACCCTAGAAGGAAATCTAGGCAAAACCATCCAGGACATAGGAGTAGGCAAGGACTTCATGAACAAAACACCAAAAGCATTGGCAACAAAAGCTAAAATAGACAAATGGGACCTAATGAAACTCCACAGCTTCTGCACAGCAAAAGAAACAGTCTCTAGTGTGAATCGGCAACCAACAGAATGGGAAAAAATTTTTGCAGTTTACCCATCTGACAAAGGGCTGATATCCAGAATTTACAAAGAACTCAAACAGATTTACAGGAAAAAAACAAACAAGCCCATTAAAAATTGGGCAAAGGACATGAACAGATACTTTAAGAAAGAAGACATATATGAGGCCAACGATCATATGAAAAAATGCTCATCGTCACTGGTCATCAGAGAGATGCAAATCAAAACCACATTGAGATACCATCTCACGCCAGTTAGAGTGGCAATCATTAAAAAATCTGGAGACAGCAGATGCTGGAGAGGATGTGGAGAAAAAGGAACACTTTTACACTGTTGGTGGGAGTGTAAATTAGTTCAACCATTGTGGAAGACAGTGTGGCGATTCCTCAAGGCCTTAGAAATAGAAATTCCATTTGACCCAGCAATCCCATTACTGGGTATATATCCAAAGGACTATAAATCGTTCTACTATAAGGACACATGCACACGAATGTTCATTGCAGCACTGTTTACAATAGCAAAGACCTGGAATCAACCCAAATGCCCATTGATGATAGACTGGATTGGGAAAAATGTGGCACATATACACCATGGAATATTATGCATCAATCAGAAATGATGAGTTCGTGTCGTTTGTAGGGACATGGAGGAATCTGGAGAACGCCATTCTCAGCAAACTGACACAAGAACAGAAAATGAAACACCGCATATTCTCACTCATAGGCGGGTGATGAAAAATGAGAACACATGGACACAGAGAGGGGAGTACTAAACACTGGGGTCTATTGGGGGGAAAAGGGGAGGGCCAGTGGGAGGGGGAGGTGGTGAGGGATAGCCTGGGGAGAAATGCCAAATGTGGGTGAAGGGGAGAAAGCAAACAAAACACACTGCCATGTGTGTACCTATGCAACTGTATTGCATGCTCTGCACATGTACCCCAAAACCTAAAATGCAATAAAAAAAACAGTATGTGCTTTTATATATCATCGTGTAAATTTAATATAACACATATGCAGTAATAAACGTTTTACTGAAAAAAAAAAAAAACAGGTTAGTTGCTGTGTTATTTGGGTAGGTACTCGTGCCTGGCATATCTTCATTGTAAATTGTGGCCTTTAACATTTTAAAGTATACAATTTTTATTTGTCTGTTATCGTGTTGCTCTTCTGCAAGTTTTTTGAAACTAAATCCTACCTTGTGTTATATCAGAATCTCTTGTTTCTGTTCTCTGGAAATACATTTACTCATCTCTATTTTCAGCCTTTCTGAATCACATTGTTTCAGGTATGCTTCTTCTCTATGGCACCAAATTAATTTTTGTGTTGTGAGCCTGTACAGATTTTTTTTTTTTTTTTTTTGAGACAAGGTCTATTTCTGTCACCCAGGCTGGAGTGCAGTGGCCCAGTCTTGGCTCACTGCAGCCTTGACCTCCCCAGCTCAAGGGATCCTCTTGCCTAAGCTTCCAAAGTAGCTGGGACTACATGTGCACAGCACCGCACCCAGCTAATGTTTTTTATTTTTAGCAGAGACAAAGTCTCCCTGTGTTGCCCAGGCTGGTTTCCAACTCCCAAACTCAAGCAAGCCTTCTGCCTCAGCCTCCCAGAGCGCTGGGATTACAGGTATGAGCCACTGCACCTGGCTTGGAAATTCTTTTTCTTTTAGTGGGGAAACACAAATTTATTGTATTTATTAATATAGTCAACATGTTTCATCTCAACTTTGCCATCTTTTTAGTCATTTATTTATTGGTGTATTTTGTTCTATTTACTCTTTTTTTTTTTAAATGTGTTTCCTTTTTATGTCTTTTTAGTGTTATGTGTTTAAGGTTTTTATGTGTTTCGTTTTTCTTTTTTAATGTTTTAAATTGTTAGGGAAGAGTGGAGTTTTGAAGGTTTGTGTTTTTGTTCTACTAGGTTCCCCTGTACTAATATCATTCTAAAAATTTATTTCTCTTTTTCCTTATTTGTTTTTCTACTATTTGGTGTGTCCACTTCAAAAGATGTTATTTCACATCTTCCTGTTAGCATCTAGAAATCAATGAACTTATTTCATTTTCTTCTTTCTCTTCACATTTTAGTTAGATTATTACTTTATTAGAACTCATAATTTTTATTTAGCGTTTTTCTACTCTTACAGTATTTATTAATAGTAATCACAGCCCCTGAATACCCACCCTCACATCCATATACTCCCTGCTCCCACAGCCTCTGACTACCCACCCTCCCATCTATGGACTCTCTTCTCTCACATCCCCTGACTACCCAGCCTCATATCTATGCACTTCGTGCTCCACATCTTCTGACTACCCACCCTCAGAGCAGCATGAGAGCTACCCATCCATCCACTCCCTGCTGGCACAGCCCATGACTACCCACCCTCACATCCATGCACTCCCTGCTCCCACAGTTCCTGACTACCCACCCTCACATGCATGCACTCCCTTTCTCCCATCAATGCACTTGTTACACCCTTAGCCCCTTACTACCCAACCTCAGAGCAGTATGAGAGCTACCCATCCATGCACTGCCTACTCCCACAGCCCCTGACTACGCACCTTCCCATTCATGCATTCTCTGTGCCTCTCAGCTCCTGACTACCACCCTCAGAGGAGCATGAGAGGCCTTCATCCATGCACTTCCTGTGCCCCATTGCCCCTGACTACCCATCCTTTCGTCCATGCACTTTCTGCTCCCACAGCCCCTGATGATCCACCCTCAGAGCAGCATGAGAGCTGTCCATCCATGCACTCCCTGCTTCCACAGCCCCTGCCTACCCACCCTCCCATCCATGCAGTCTCTGCCCCCACAGCCCCTGACTATGCACCCTCCCATCCATGCATTCCCTGCTCCCACAGCTTCTTACTGCCCACCCTCACATCCATGCACTCCCTGCTCTTACAGCCCCTGACTACCCACCCTCAGTCCAGCATGAGAGCTGTTCATCCATGTACTCCATGCTCCCACAGCCCCTGACTACCCACGCTCCCATTCATGCACTCCCTGCTCCCACACCCCCGGATTACCCACCCTCACATCCATGCACTTTCTGCTCCCACAGCCCCTGACTACCCACCCTCACACCATACACTCTCTGCTCCCACAACCCTTGACTAATCACCCTCACATCCATACACTTCCTGCTCCCACACCGACTACCCGACCTCCCATCCATGCACTCCCTGCTCCCACAGAGCCTGACTACCCACCCTCACATCCATGCACTTTCTGCTCTCACAGCCCCTGACTACCCACCCTCACATCCATACACTCTCTGCTCCCACAGCCTCTGACTACCCACCCTCCCATCTATGCACTCTCTTTTCTCACAGCCCCTGACTACCCACCCTCATATCTATGCACTCCATGCTCCCACATCTTCTGACTACCCCACCTCAGAGCAGCATGAGAGCTGCCCGTCCATGCACTCTCTGCTCTCACAGCCCGTGACTACCCATTCTCACATCCATGCAGTCCCTGCTCTCATAGTTCCTGACTACCCACCCTCACATCCATGCACTCCCTGCTCCTACATCCCCTGACTACTCACCTTCCCATCCATGCATTCCCTGTGCCTCACAGCCCTTGACTACCAACCTCAGAGCAGCATGAGAGCTCTCCATCCATGAGCTTTCTGTGCCACACAGCCCCTGACTATCCATCCTCCCATCCATGCACTCTCTGCTCCCACAGCCCCTGACTACCTACCCTCCCTTCCATGTACTCTCTGCTCCCGTAGCACCTCACTACCCACCCTCACACCCATGCACTCCCTCCTCCCACAGCCCCTGAGTACCTACCCTCCAATCCATTCACTCCATGCTCCCACAGCTTCTGACTACACAACCTCACATCCATGCTCTTTCTGGTTTCACAGCTCCTGACTCTGCACCCTTCCGTCCATGCACTGCCTGCTCCCACAGACCCTAAATAGCCAGCCTACCATTTCTGCACTCCCTGCTCCCACAGCCCCTGACTACTCACCCTGAGAGCAGCAGGGAAGCTTTCCACCCGTGCACTCCCTGCATCTGCAGCCCCTGACTACCCACCCTCACATCCATGCACTCTCTTCTCCCACAGCCCCTGACTATCCACCCTCACGTACATGCACTCTCTGCTCCCACAGCTTCTGACTACCCACCCTGGTATGAATGCACTTTCTGCTCTTACAGCCCCATAGTACCCACCCTCAGAGCAGCATGAGAGCTGTCAATCCGTGCACTCCCTGCTTCCAAATCCCATGCCTACCCACCCTCCCAATCATGCACTTTGTACTCCCACAGCCGCTGACTCCCCGCTTCACATCCGTGCACTCACTGCTTTCACAGCCCCTGACTATCCACCCTCCCATCCATGCACTCTCTGCTCCCACAGCCCCTGACTACCCTTGCTCACATACATGGCCTTTCTGCCCCCACAGCACCTGACTACCCACCCTTCCATCCATGCACTGCCTGCTGCCACAGCCCCTAACTACCCACCCTATTTTTTCTGCACTCTCTGTTCCCACAGCCCCTGACTACCCCCACTCACATCCATGCACTTCCTGTTTTCAGTGCCCTCGAGTAACTACCCTCTCATTCATACAACCTGGCTATCCACTCTCACATCCATGAACTCCCTGTTTCTGCAGCCCCTGACTACCCACTCTCCCATCCATGCTCTACCTGCTATCACAGCCGCTGACTTCCCACACTCTTATCCATACACTTTCTGCTCTTACATCCTCTTACTACCAACCCTGAGAGCAGCATGAAAGCTGCCCATCCATGCACTCCCTGCCTCCACAGCCCCTGACTACTTACCTTCCCATCCATGCACTCCCTGCCTCCACAGCCCCTGACTGCCATGCTCAGAGCTGCATGAGAGCCCTGCATCCATGCGCTCCCTGTGCACCACTGCCCCTGAATACCCATCCTTTTATCCATGCACTTCCTGCTCCCACAGCCCGACTACCCACCCTCTCATCCATGCACTTCCTGCTCCCACAGCCCGACTACCCACCCTCTCATCCATGCACTCCCTGCTCCCACAGCCCTTGACTATTCGCCCTCAAATACATGTACTCCCTGCTTGCACAGCCCCTGCCTATTCACCCTCCCATCAATGCACTTTCTACCCCCACAGCTCCTGACTTTTCAACCTCCCCTCCATACACTCCCTGCAGCCACAGCCTCTGACTACACATCCTTACATCCATGTACTTTTTGCTCCTCCAGCCCCTGACTACCCACCATGAGAGCAGCATGAGAGCTCCCATCCATTTATACTCTGCTCCCACAGTCCCTAACTCCTTACCCTCCCTTCCATGCACTCCCTGCTCCCACAGCCCCTGACTACCCACCCTTTCATCCATGTACTCCTGATCGCTTGCGTCCAGGATTTCTAGACCAGCCTGGCCAACATGAGAAATCCCTGGAGGGGGCCTGTGCCTTTTATCTCAGTTATTTGGCAGAGTGATGGGGGAGGATTGATTGAGTCTGGGTGGTGAAGACTGCAATGAGCCTAGATCACACCACTGCACCCTATCCTGGAGGACAGTGTGAGAGCCTGTCTCAGGAAAAAAAGAAAAAAAAGTCCTCTCCACTCACTAGGTTGTATACATAAGAACATTTTAATAGAGGCCTTGGCTTAAAAGGGTATACTCTGAGTGTATTACATTTGAGCTCTCCCCTCTTTCAACAGCGAGTCCCTGGTGGTCGCAGCCTGGGTTTCGAAGGAGGCTTCCTCTGGAAACAGGCACAGAGTATCATAACCTGAAGCTGCCACTTCTCTTCCACGTGAAGGTGACGTTGAGGCATCCTCACAGCTTTCCCAGGCACCACCCCAGCCCCACCATGTGGCACAGCCTCACTCCAGCCAGGCCCCGGTCCCAGCCCCCACCTCTGGCTGGGATCCAGACCCAGGCCCACTTCTCACCCTGTGTCCCAAGCCTACTGTGCTCTTCTTTACCCTAGATTAGGGGCTATGGGGCATCTTGCCTTACACCCCAGCAGGGGGCACATTCTTCCACCCCTACTGTAAAGGAGTATCTTGAATGGCCCTTGCAGAAGCGACCAAAGTGGAAGAGGGTTTTGCCCTCTCTCCTCCAAAAGTCTCAGGCTGTCCTGAGTGAACCCACTGCCCACCTTCCCCATGGGAGGCCGGTCCCCTGCAGTCCCAAGTTAGCTCCCATTGTTTTTGGGGCTGCCGCCAGGCCTGAGCTTCCCAGAGCAACGGTAGCGAGGAAGGAGTGCCACCGACCAGGAGCAGCCCCATGGCTCGCCTGGCAGTTTCTGGCCACGGGGAGACCCGCTGCCGCCCCAGAGGGAATTCCCAGGGAGTCTGCAGCATCAGGCAGAAGACACGCAAGGGTCCTGCCTGCCCTCCCAAATTTGGGAAGCATTGAGGTGGATCTGAGATCAGGGACTCTGGGGACCACTAGTAACCCCTTGGGGTCCACAGTCTGTGTTGCTGACAGTCCAGGGCAGCTGTGCTTGAGAGCACAGGTGGTCAGTGAGCTCGAGCTCATAGTGCAGGTGGCTTGCACTAGCTAAGCAAGGGCGGCCAGAAGAGCTGGCTGCATTTGCTGTGGCATCAGAGACCCTCTGCGGACAGGGTGGCTGCTGTTCTTGGGCTCTCTGGTTCCAGAAGGGATGCGGAGTCATGGCATCCCACTCCTTCCGCAGTGGTGTCATCTGCGGGCACTCCGCCCCTCTCCCTTCTTTCTTCTGTCGCAGCTTCATCACTGCCTTCTTGGCGATGAGAGTCTCCAGCAGCTTCTGCACGTCAGGGTGGATGAATGTGCACTCACCTGCCTCCGTCTGCTGGGGTGTGGGGTCTCCCCAGAAGGAAGGCTCTGGGGGGTGGTTAGGAAGATGCTGTTGCTGGAATTTGTCATGTGAGCAGGTGGAGAGGCCCCACGTGGTGGCAGCCTCCTTCCACCAGGAGAGGTCCCCGGTGGGCTTGCCGGAGCACCCAAGGCCAGAGATCACCGTGGTTGGAGCCGGCGGCCGCTGCTGGTGTGGAGGGGAGCTGTGGGGGCCGGGGTGTGTTGTGGAGCCACACGGAATTCCAACCAGGCTGGAGGCACGTGAGGGTGGAGAGGAAGCTTCGAGAACATTGGGCTGTGGTGAAGGATGAAGAAGCGCATGTGTCTGGGGTGCACGGCGTTTTAGGGGAGGCAAGGGCTCCGGTGGCCTGGCGGCACTCAGGGTTGAGTGTGATCCAAAAGGCTCTGAAGAGGTCGTCGGGCCTGGTGACAGCGTGGAGGCCAGAGGAGCCGGGGAAGCTGGTGGGGACGGGCAGGATGAGGGGCCCAGCAGCCGTGGGCCAAGTCGGAGGTAGGAGGAGGAGCTGGGACCTGTGACATGTAGGTGGCCTGGGGCAGGGAGGTGGGTGAGGTGGGGAGGTGGGGAGATGGGCCAGCTGGCACTGCCGTTTACCAAAAGTTCTTTTTCCTCCCACGTCGCTTTTTCAGTCTCCTCAGCCATGCATTGCTACCTATCGCCCCCATGTTGTTTGTGAATCCTTCCAAGGATAGGCGGGGACGTTTAGCGGGTGAGGGCCTCTCATCTCTGCCCCACCTCCATTGCTTGGCAGGGACCAGTGGCAGCTGCTGGGGTAGCCCTGACCGTTTTGCTTGGCTGGCAGCTCTCAGTGGAGGGGAGCTGCCTACTACTGGAGCCGCAGGATCCTTGCACTGGGTCTCCTTCCCCGGGATCTGCAAGCCTGAGGAGCTGGGTAGCTGCTCCTTCTCCAGCACCTGAGAGGCCGCCTTCTCTGGCCAATGGGAGCAGCCGGGAGCTGGGTCAGGGAGCACTGCTGGAGCTGGGTCAGGCTTCCCAAATGGAAGGACGCCTCCTGCAGGGCTGTGTGCACTGGGCACTCCATGGGCCTTGGATTAAACACTTCCCTTTAAGGCCCTGGGACTGCAGTCGAGGGAAGCGAGGTTTCCCTGAGTCTCCAGGGGCCTCGAGGTAGATGCTGTTGGTTCATTGCTACGGGGGCCCCCTTTCTCCTTCTCCTGCCCCTGGGTCTCTACCTCATCGTCCATTGGTTCTTCCATTGGTTCTTCCAGCTCTTCTGCTGTCACCTCCATCGGGGCCAGCACTTGTAGCGAAGGCAGCCTCACAGGGCCTCTGTGGTCCAGGTGCCTTGCAGACGGCATGACTTTCTTCCTTGAGGGGGGGGCTTCCACACCGGAGGAGGCAGGGCCCACCGTAGGGCGCTCGAGGTTCGGGTGAAATTCCTTCCGGATGCAAAACGGGGCTGAAGACCTCCGTGATGACTCAAAAATCGAGCAGGGTATCGGGTTCCCTGTTGAGGCACACACGCAGGAGCTGCAGGGTGAACCCGGCCAGCCTAAAAGTTCAAAGGAACGAGGAGACCATTGGGGTTGCCACTGCTGCTGGGGCCTGTGGTGGAACCGGTAAAAAAAGCTCCTGCATTTTCCCATATTGTGGGAGATTCCCACAGACAAAAGGTAAACGTCAGTAACGGAGAGTATACGCGTGAGTCTACACCTGAGTATACACCTGCTAGTCTGTGGCCAGCACTGTGGCACTGGCTTCTTATGACATCACAGTGGGGCTGGTGACAGAGCAGGGTATGGGGCAGTGCACAGGAGTCCAGCAAGAGCACCTACAAGTTGAATCAAAGGGCACAGGGAGAGGCTCACCACCCGTCTAGCTGGACTCTAGCCCCACAGATGTCCTGCTCCTGGGGACAGGTGTGTGTCCCTGGATGGGCCCCACCGTGGGCCTGTGGGGCATGCGTGGCTGATCTGCCAGAGCCCTTCCACCTGGTGCCTGGCCCAGGCGCTGGCTAGCACCCAGTGGCCATGTCTTGGCTGGCCTTGTCCTCTGGGTTACAGGGCCAGACCCTGCTGGAAGCAGAGCTCAGGATTAGCCAGATCCTGCCAGGCTCCCCTAGGGCCTCAGCGCCTCTCTGCAGCCTGGAGCCAGGCCCGCTTTCTCCATTGTGGTCCTGGCCTCTCCAGGCAGATTTCAGGAGAGGATGTGTGTCCTGGCTTGACTGGCTGCCGCCCCTTACCACTTCCCTTCCTGGCAGGCAGGGTCTCCACACAGCTCCAGATCACCCCACACAGAGGAAACTGGGCCCCAGCACTTGCCCTGGGAAGGGCTGATGAGCCACGGCAGGGGCCTATCTCCCACAGAGCCCTGGCTCCCTCCTGAGCCTGTCCTCACCACTAAGCTCGGTGTTGCTTTGTGCCCTGAAGCCTCCTGCCCACCCCACAGGTGGTTTGGGAGCTGGGCATGGAATCCTCTGTGCGCTCTCACCCCGCCTTCCCTGCCCTGCCCAGAGGGATCATGAGATTTCCCATCACAGGAGCGTCTCTTGTTGCTTAGGAAAAGTGGAAACCAGGGGAGGAAAACAAGAGAGAATCTTTCTCTGTAGGGTAGGGGTAGGGGTGGGTCACTGGGGAGGTGGGGGAGTAATAGGCCCACACCCCAGTGAGGATAAGATCCATCACCCGGGGAGTGGAGCTGGGGCTCAGCCACGTGGCACTAGGGCTCTTCAGACGAAAGAGCATTTTTTTCATCTGAAGTGCACTGTCTCACCAAGCAACAGCCTTGGGCATCCCCTTTGGGACTAGGGACTGGGGCCCAGGCCTGAATCACATAGCTGGGGCCTCCTCCTCACTAAGAGCTCCTGGGTGCAGGGGAGGGGCAGTGGGAGGAGGAGGCTGAAGCACAGTCCCTCCCTCAGCTCCTGCCCCGGGTCTCTCCACCCCACTGGGTCTACCAGATCCTACTCCAGCAGCTCACCCTGTCAGAGACAGGCCTGGCTCCATTTTCTCCTCTGTCCCCTGGGACACGGGTGTCACTTTGTTCTCCTTGTCCTCTTAGAGATCTAGGCCTGAGCCCACCCGTTTCATAGCCTTGGAAAGTCTGAAATTCTCCCAGGAATTCAGGTGGTTTCCTAAGGATTATTTCAGAATCTCCTCTGTTCTCGTCATTTCCCCACACCCTACACGTTTTCTACTTTCATCAACCCGGGATAGAGCTTTGAAATTCACAAAACTAAAAAGTGTAATGAAAATACAAATGACAAATGACTTTTTTTGTTTTAATTAGGACCATAATTTTAACCACAGAAACACAAACACTTTGACAAATTATGTTCAAAACAGGAATGAAGCCTTTACTTATTGTCTTTAGAGCTTTTATATGTTGCCCTGATCCAGTTCTTCTTACTCTGCCCCAAATACAGTCCTCACTGTCCTGGGTTTTGGAACATGTGTGCACCCACCATAAGCCAGGAGTGGCTTGAGACGATCCGAGGTCCAGCTCCTGTGAGTGGAGAGCGGGTCTGGGCACCCCATGCTTGGCTCCAGTCCAGCGTTCAGCAGCCTCTTCTGATCTCACTCATGTCTGTTTGCTTCATACCATGTCCTGTCCTTCACCTCCTGCCCGCTCCAGACCCCTGGGGCCTGATGTCTGGCCTGTACCTGGTAGGAGAGATGCTTTGAGCCCTGGAGGAGGTGTTCTCATTATACTATTAGACATCTTTTGGGCAGCAGAAACTCAGGATTAGAGACTGCACTGTTTAATCACTATGTGATAAATGTACGTAATACTTGAAAAGTGGCCTTGAAAAATCATGTGTATCTTTGTCATGCATTCTATATAGCCTCAATGGGAGTGAGACCATCTGAGTTTATGTGGGTCTGTTCTCATGAATGTGTGCTTCAAGAGCATTATCTTCTGTCTACAGTCTCTTCCTTTATGATATTGTCACCTGGGAGGCATGACAGTCCCTGACACTCCCTAATGTGGTCAACTGGGTTAACTTGTCAAGAGTGGAGACCCCAGGGATGCCTGCTAGGATCATTGAGAAGCATGGGGGTCCTCATGCTTCATTTGCAGGGACCCTAAGCCTGAGAAGTGGGTCTCGCCTTGACTACGTGATTGGGCTTGGGCACACAAGGAATCACCTGCCATCAGGCCACTGCCAGCTCAGTAGGTGCACTCTGTGTGACGAACAGGGACCGGAGAGCAGAGGCAATGGGTCTCATTAATTCCACATCTAGGGAAGAGGTTTGTTTCAGGTTCCATTCCTCCTCAAACCTGATGCTCTCCTTTCCGGATAAACAAGAGGAGCGCATAGGTGTGGGGGGTTCCCAGGCTCTGGTGGACTGTGTCTGTGTCTCCATCCATTGGCCTCTCCTTCTCCACTCTGTGGGCTCAGCTCTCAACTGTTGTTCATCTAATCGCTCATCCACCTGCCTGCTGCAATGAGGATGAGGCTTCCCAGAGCCAGCCTCATGCTCCTGCTACTTCAAGGGAAATGAGCTTCAACGCCCTACCTTGACACCCCCCACCACCACACACACTTCAGACACAGTGGCGCCCACAACAGACCCCTGGGGGCTTTTTTGGGACACCACACATATTTCAGAAGAACTGGGCCTCTCATCTCACCTGGACCGACCTGGGAGCCTTCTTGTGCCTTCCTGCCTTTGTCATTCATCTTTTACTACAGACAATTGTCGTTCCTCCTGGTTCATGTAGGACCATCCTTTTTGCGTTCCGCAGGCTCCTGATGCTCACGAAGCATCTCCTGGATCCTGGGAATCTTTCTGGTCTCTGGTGTGGACTGGAATCGCAGCTTTGGTTTCCCCCACATTTCCACTGCAGGGAAGTGAAGGAAGGAGGAAGAATTCATTAGAAAATGTGAGCGAATTTCTCTTTGGAAGAACAGCTTCCCCTCCCCACCATAGTCTCTGATCACTCCTTAGCATTTAAAACGAACAAATACACCTACACAGACATTTCCTAGTATGAAGCTTAAGTTCCTGGGAATATCTCTCGTGTTGCATACACATGAAATTCATGCACCTCAGCTGCACAGCCTTATCACAGTCAATGGCTGCCTCAGGAGAGGCCTTGAGGTACATTTCATACTGTGTGTGTGTGTGTGTTTATATTTACAACTTTTATTACTTTTTCTCCCAAAAATACATATAAATGAAAACCTGCTCTTCAAATGCAGGGAGGCCTTTGCCTAACATTGTCATATGGAAATCAGTATCAACCCTATAGTCCCAGCTACTCAGGAGGCTGAGGCAGGAGAATTGCCTGAACCCAGGAGGCAGAGGTTGCGGTGAGCCGAGACCGCGCCATTGCACCCCAGCCTGTGTAACAAGAGTGAAACTCCGTCTCAAAAAAAAAAAAGAAAAAGACATTACAATATATATATATATATATATATGAAATTTAGGCCACTTGCGGTGGAGCAGGGAGTGTATGGATCGAAGGGTGGCTAATCTGGAGCTGTGGAAGTAGGAAGTGAATGGATGGGACAATGAGTAGTCAGGGTCTCTGGAAGCAGGGACTGCATAATTAGGAGGGTGGGTAGTCAGGGGCTGTGGAAGAAGGGAGTCTATGGGTTTAAGGGTGGGTAGTCAGGGGCTATAAGAGCAAGGAGTGGATGGATGGAACAGTGGGGAGTCAGGGGATGTGGGAGGAGGGAGTGCATGGATGAGAGGGTGGGTAGTAAGGGGCTGTGGATGAAGGAAGTGCATGGGTGTGAGGGTGGGTAGTCAGGGGCTATAAGAGCAGGGAGTGCATGGATGGGACAGTGGGTAGTCAGGGGATGTGGGAGAAGAAAGTGCATGAATGTGAGGGTGGGTAGTCGGGATGTGGGAGGGGGGAGGGCATAGATGGGAGGGTGGGGAGTCAGGAGCTGTGGGAGGAGGGAGTTCATAGATGGGAAGGTGGGAATTCAGGAATGGTGGGAGCAGTAAGTGCATGGATGGGAGGGTGGGTAGTCAGAGGCTGTGGCAGCAAGGAGTACATGGATGTGAGGGTGGATAGTCAGGGGCTGTTGGGGCAGGGAGTGCATAGATGGGAGGGTGGGTAGTCGGGATGTGAGAGCAGAGACTGCCTGAATGGGACGATGGGTAGTCAACAGTTCTGGGGCACAGGGAGCATATGGATGGAGGGTTCTCATGCTGCTCTGAGGGTGGTAGTCAGGAGCTGTGAGGCACAGGGAATACATGGATGGGAAGGTGTGTAGTCGGGAACAGTGTGAGGAGAAACTGCATGGTTGGGCAGCTCTCATGCTGCTCTGAGGGTGGGTAGTCGGGCTGTGGGCGTAGGGAGTGCATAGATGTGAGGATGGGTAGATATGGGATGTGGGAGCAGGGAATGCATGGATGGGTGGCTCTCATGCTGCTCTGAGGGTGGGTAGTCAGGGGTGTGGAAGCAGGAAGTGCATGGATGAAAGGGTGGGTAGGCAGGGGCTGTGGGATCAGGGAGTGCATAAATGGGAGGGTGAGTAGGCAGGGGCTGTGGGAGCAGAAAGTGCATGGATGGACAGCTCTCATACTGCTCAGATAGGGGCTGTAAGAGCAGGGAGTGCATGCATGGGAGGGTGGGTAGTCAGCGGCTGTTGGAGCAGGGAGGGCATGGATGAAACAATGAGTAGTCCAGGGCTGTAGAAGCAGGGAATGAATGGATGTGAGGGTTGATAGTCAGGGGCTGTGGGACCAGGAAGTGCATAGATGCTAGAATGGGTAGTCAGGGGCTTTGGGAGCAGGCAGTGCATGGTCAAAAAGGTGGGTAGTCAGAGGCTGTGGAAGCACGGAGTGCATGGATGAGAGTGTGGGTAGTCAGGGGGTGTAAAAGAAGGGAGTGCATGTTTGTGAGGGTGGGTAGTCAGGTGCTATGGGAGTAGGGAGTGCATGGATGGGAGGGTGGGTAGTCAGGCTGTTGGGCAACGGGATTGTATAAATGGAGGGCTCTCAGGCTGCTCTGAGGGTGGTAGTCGGGCTGTGTGGCACACGGAATGCATGGATGAGAAGGTGGGTAGTCAGGGGCTTTGGGATCAGTGAGTGCATGGAATTCAGGGTGGGTAGTCACGGGCTGTGGGAGCATAAAGTGCAAGGATGGGAAGAAGGGTAGTCTGGGGCTGTGGTAGCAGAGAGTTTATGGATGTCAAGGTGGGTTGTCAGGGGCTGTGGGAGAAGGGAGTGCATGGATAGGAGGCTGGGTAGTCAGCGACTGTGGGAGCAGGGAGTTCATGGATGTGAGCGTGGGTTATCAGGGGCTATGATGAGAGGGAGTGCATGGATGGGAGGGTGGGTAGTCAGGAGATAAGGGAGCAGGGAGTGCATCGATGTGAGGGTGGGTAGACAGGGTATGTGGGAACAGGGTGTGCATGAATGGGCAGCTCTCATGCTCTCAGGGTGGGTATTCACGGGCTGTCAGAGAAGAAAGTGCATGGATGTGAGGGTGGGTAGTCAGGGGATGTGGGAGCAGGAAGTGCAGGGATGTCAGGGTGGGTAGTCGGGCTGTGGGAGGAGGGAGTGCATGGATGTGAGGGTGAGTAGTTAGGGGCTGTGAAAGCAGGGAGTGCATGGATGGGAGGCTGGGGAGTCAGGGAATGTGGGAGCAAGGTGTGCAGACATGGTAGGGTGGGTAGTTAGGTATGTGGCAGTAGGCAGTGCATGGACGGGTGGGTGGGTAGTCAGGAGCTGTGAAAGCAGGAAGAGCATGGATGTGAGGTTGGGTAGTAAGGGGCTGTGGGAGCACACAGTGTATGTATTGGAGGGTAGGTACTCAGGGGCTATGGGAGCAGGGAGTCCATGAATGTGAGGGTGGGCAGTCAGAAGCTATGGGAGCACAGAGTGCATAGATTCGAGGGTAGGTACTCAGGGGCTGTGGGAGCAGGGAGTGCATGGGTGTGAGGGTGGGTAGTGAGGTACTATGGGAGCAGGGAGTGCATGAATAAGACGGTGGGTAGTCAGGGGCTGTGGGAGCAGAAAGTGCATTAATGGGAAGATGGGTAGTCAGGGGCTGTGGGGCACAGAAAGCTCATGGATAAAGGGCTCTCATGCTTCTTTGAGGCTGTTAGTCAGGGGCTGTGAGGCACAGGGAATGCTTGGATGAGAAGGTGGGTAGTCAGGGGATGTGGGAGCAGGGAGTCCATGGATGTGAGGATGGGTAGTCATGGGCTGTGGGAGCAAGGAATGCATGGATGAGCAGTTCTCATGGTGCTCTGAGTATGGGTAGGCAGGAGCTGTGGGAGCAGGAAGTGCATGGATGTAAGGATGGGTAGTCATGGGCTGTGAAAGCAGGAATGCATAAATGTGCAGCTCTCATGCTGCTCTGAATGTGGGTAGTCAGGGCCTGTGGAAGCAGGGAGTGCATGGATGTAAGCGTGGGTAGTCAGGGGCTGTGGGAGCAGGGAATGCATGGATCGACAGCCCTCATGCTGCTCTGAGGGAGGGTAGTTAGGGGCTGTGGAAGCAGGGAGTGCATGGATGTGAGGGTGGGTAATCAGGGGCTGTGGGAGCAGGGAGTGCATGAATGTGAGGGTGGGTAGTCAGAGGCTGTGGGAGCAGGGAGTACATAAAAGAGCAGCTCTCATGCTGCTCGGAGGGTGGGTTGTCAGAGGTTGTGGAAGCAGGGAGTGCATGGATGTGAGGGTGGGTACTCAGGGGCTGTGGGATCAGCAAGTGCATGGATGGGAGGGTGGGTAGTCAGGGGCTGTGGGAGCAGGGAATGCATGGATGGGAGGGTGGTTAGTCAGAAAATGTGGGGCACAGGGAGCGCAGGGATGAAGGGTTCTCATGCTGCTATGAGGGTGATAGGGGCTAGAGGCACAGGGAATGCATGAATGGGAAGGTGGGTAGTCAGGGGCTGTGGAAGCACGCAGTGCATGGATGGGCAGCTCTCACACTGCTCTGAGAATGGGTAGTCAGGGGCTGTGGGAGCAAGGACTGCATGGATGGTATGGTGGGTAGTCAGGGGCTATGGGAGCAAAAAGTGCCTGGATGGGAGGGTGGGTAGTCAGGGGCTGTGGGAGCAGAAAGTGCATGGATGTGATGGTGGGTCGTCAGGGGCTGTGGGAGGAGGGAGTGCCTAGAAGGAAGGGTGGGTAGTCAGGGGCTGTGAGAGCAGAGAGTGTATGGATGTGAGGGTGGGCACTCGGGCTGTGGGAGCAGAAAGTGCACGGATGTGAAAGTGGGTAGTCGGGCTGTGGGAGCAGGGAGTGCATGGATGGGAGTGTGGGTAGTCAGGGGCTTTGGGAGCAGGGAGTGCATGGATGAAAGGCCCTCATGCTGCTCTGAGGGTTGTAATAAGGGGCTGAGAGGCACAGGGAATGCATAGATGGGAAGGTGGGTAGTCAGGGGCTGTGGGAGCAGGGAGTGCATGGATGGGCAGCTGTCATACTGCTCTGAGGGTGGATAGTCAGGGGATTTGGGAGCAGAAAATGCATGGATGGGAGTGTGGATAGTCGTGGTTTGTAAGAGCAGGGATGGCATGGATGGGAAGTTCTGATGCTGCGGTGAGGGTGGGTAGTCAGAAGCTGTGGAATAAGGGAGCGAATGGACGTTTGGGTGGGTAGTCAGGGGCTGTGGGAGCACGGAGTGCATGGATGGATAGCTCTCATGCTTCTCTGAGGGAGGGTAGTCAGGGACTATGGAAGCAGGGAGTGCGTAGATGTGAGGGTGGGTAGTCAGGGGCTGCAGGAGCAGGGAGTGCATAAAAGAGCAGCTCTCATGCTTCTTGAAGGGTGTGTATTCAGAAGCTGTGGGAGCAGGGAGTGCATGGATGTGAGGGTGGGTAGTCAGGGGCAGCGGGAGCAGAGAGTGCATGGATGGGAGGGTCGGTAGTCAGGGGATGTGGGAGCACAAAGTGCATGGATGGGAGGGTGGGTAGTCGTGGGCTGTAAGAGCAGAGATTGCATGGATGCGCAGCCCTGATGGTGCTCTGAAGTGGGTAGTCAGGGGCTGTGGGATATGGGAGAACATGGATGTGAGGGTGGGTTGTCAGGGGCTGTGGGAACACGGAGTGCATGGATAGGAGGGTGGGTAGTCAGGGGCTGTAGGAGCAGGGAGTGCATGAATGTGAGGGTGGATAGTCAGGGGCTGTGGGAGGAGTTAGTGCATGGATGAGACGGTGGGTAGTCAGAAAGTGTAGACGCAGGGAGTGCATGGATGGGCAGCTTTCATGCTGCTCTCAGGGTGGGTAGTCAGGGGCTGTGGCAGCAGAGAGTGCATGGATGAAAGGGTGGGCAGTCTGTGGTTGTGAGAGCAGGGAGAACATGGATGGGACAATGGATAGTCAGCGGCTGCAGAAGCAGGGAGTGCATGGATGTGATGGTGTGTAGTTAGAAGCTGTG